TCTTTCCTTTTTTTTTTTTAAAGTTTTTTATATTAAATAGGTACCTTTGGCATGAGAGGACAGAGTTATGAATTAAATAAAATCCTCTTATATTATGTCTTTTGCTTATGCCTGGGAAGATAGATCTGGAAACCAGATCCTTCCTAAGGATAAATCCGTAAACATCTGTCAGAGGAGTGACATAACATGACTGTCATCTGACTGTGTACTCTGGAGGGCTGCTGCTAGCGCTACAGAAAGAACCAATTAAGGACAGAAGCAGAAAGCAAATAAAAAATGTTACTGTATCAGTTGGGTCAAACCAACACATTGCTGTACAATTCCTCTTACTCTTTTCTAGCTACCTAAATTGAATGTGTATGGTTTCTCTATAATAATTCCCATCCTTACTCTTTTCTCAAACTTTGTGCTGGAGACACAAGAACCACTCCTCCTTTAAATGATGTTCCATGTAAATTCTGTTGCAGTCTTTATGCTCATAAGTCTTATAAATATGTTTTTGTGATACTCCAGGCTGAGTTGTGAGGGATCAAATTTAGATCCTTGCTTTCAAGTGTTCTCCTAAGTGTTTTTTCCAATTGAATGGGATAGTCATCTGAGCCCAAGCACTGTGGGGAGCTGAGCATGCACGTGGTATCAGAGCAGAAATGTAGTTTTGAAACAATTTAAAAGATGCTGCTATCAGCTGATTCAGGGGTCTGAGGGGCTTTGCACAAGGAAACCTCTTGAATTTTTTCTCTGTTTTGTGAGGTGAGAGTGGGTTGGAAAGAACTACACGTTAGAGAGCTACTCATTTGTCAAGGATGATTTTGAAGAAAATGTAAACAGAAGCATTTATCTTCTAGTAGTGCTGTATTTCTCATTCTATAATATTCAGTATTGCCACATGGATATGCAGTCAGTATAGTATCATCACTTAGCATCAGTTTTGCCACGTCAACTGCCACTGGAACAGTAACCTGAGAGCTGAAGACTCAGGAAAACAGTTTCTTTCTTCTCTTAAATCCTCTAAAACTGTGATGGGTCACAGCAGTTTCATGATTCACATTAACATGCCAGCTTGTCACAGCTGTCATGGATCCCTCTGAAGCAACCTGTGCAGTTTTCTGACCCTCCTATATGTTGGAGCAACTGCTGTCTTGGACAGTAACATCCTTTGGGACGATGGAGAGAAAACAGAGCAATCCACTCCATGATTTTCCCCTTCCTGTGACACTCCTTAGCCTTCAGTAGTACAAGCTGTCTTTATGACTGCTCAGTCCTATAGAAAATTTAATATCTATTTTCAGAGATTCTGAATGAATTTTTTCTAGATTAATGCAAAGCTTCCCTTGTGTTTCCATGTGTGCTACAAGGACAAGAGGATAAATATATGACACTGTGGAAACTCAGAAGCATGACCTTGTGATTACAGGGAGGTATTCCAAAATTTAGGAATATTTACTGAGCAAGGGGTATTCTGAAAAAACGTTTTTTCAGTCTGATCTCATCTGTCTGGTCTGGTATAGTAAAATGTTATGAAGAAATATTGCATGTGTTTATTCTGTTCTTATACTCTTCTGTACATGGCCTCCCATCAAGATTGTTGCTGGGTGGGTTAGATGGACCACTGGCTTTGCTCCACATTGCAGTGTGTGTGTGATGCTGTTATGATTGCTGGCTTCTCAGGCAATATATAATTTTTCCAATTTTATATTCACATTTTATTTCTCTATGATTATTCCTATAGAAGTTTTGCATAGTTTTCTGATTATCTTGTTGATTTACTATATCTTCCCCTATTTCAGATATTCTTCATCTGCAGCAAAAGATGGTTTAGAGCAGTTAATCCTTTTTCCCCTGAGGCAGTACATTAAATTATTTACTTCTGAGGAATTCTTTTCTAAGTAAATTTTAACTGTAGTATATGAGAGAACAAATTTGCACCACTTAATGGGAATCATAACTGCACCTGTAACCTTCTAGAAAGAAGCTGATTATCCAGGAGTTCATTGTACAATATTTCCAAGTTACAAGACTCATAAAACATTAATATTTTGCACATCTAAACTAAAATGCTTGAGGATAAGGCTTAGGGGAATTGAGATTCAAGTGCATTTTGGGCATTTGCTATTTGACTACGGGTATGATGTTCCAAGAGAGGAATTTACATGGCCAAAATTCATTCCTTGTTCTCCTCTTCTTCTCCCCCTCCAGCTAATGAGTCCTTCTCAGTCTCCAAAAAGGAGTATTGATATAAAATTAGTTTCAGATGGAAAAGAAGGAAGTTACTCACATGTTTTAGAGTTTTGCAATCTGACTCAAATATCCTCATGTTGTACCTTGCTATTCCTGCAAGATGTTAGGTAGAACAGTAAGCACTGCTAGGGAATGGGGAACTGATTTTCCCAGTTTACTTCTTTTAAATCCATTAGTTTTATTACAATTGCACCTAATTTAGATGCGTGTCAAAATCAAGCATTAATTACCTTTTATTTTTAGTCTTTATTTCTTATGATTTGAGAGCTATTAGCACATGATACTGTCAACCTAATGGAGCAATCTGAAAATAAGTCACCATATTTAATGTCATTGTATATTTAAAATAAATGTTTTTAGTTTCTAAACTTCTTTTTTTTCATTGAAACAGTAACAAAGCATAAGACTGTCCTAAATTTAATTTAGTCAGTGCATTGTAAAATGTAGGCTTCCTCCTTTCTTTCTTACAAGTTGAACTTCTTTAGGGAAAGAATTGGAAATTTTTCCATAACCCAAGGCTTCATAAATACTTGATCAAAATGGCAATCAGAATAAAATCAAGTATTTCCTCAATAACAGCTATGCTGAGAATCAAAATACTCCCACTGAAGTCTACAGCCTAATTTGGAAATTCATTTTACATTACTGTAATCCATGTATTTAAATCACTCATAGAAATAAGATCAGCAGTAAAATGTATAGGTTGTTTTTGCGGGGTATCTTGGTTTTGTGGTTTGGGATTTTTTATTTCAGCCTTAACAGAACACATCCACAGCTCCCAGTTTTCACTTAATGGGAATCCAAATGCATGCTCAAACTTGGTCTTACACGCACGTATCAGTATCATTTTTCCAATGAACCAGCACAAAACATTTTCCTTTAAGATGGTGTAATCTTAAATGTTTTATTAAATCTATTGTGAAATCAAGTCAGTGTCATTAACAAAC